ATGACCGAGATAAGGAATCTCTTTCACAGCAAACTGGCATTTTGATGGTTTGAGTTTTAACCCTGCCTCTCGAAATTTGTTGAACACTGCTTCTAAATGTTGAAGGTGTTCGTCAAATGATGAGCTATGAATTAGCAGGTCGTCCAGATATGTTAAGACATATTTGTAGGACATTCCCGAGAATAAGGAGGACATGATGAAGGAAAAACAACTTGGTGCATTGACCAGTCCAAAGGGCATGACTTTGAAATGAAACTGACCGTGACCAGGGGCAATAAAGCTGTTTTCTCCCCGACTATCGGGGACATAGGAATCTGATGATATCCGCTCATCATGTCAAGCGATGTGAAAATCTGAGGATGGCTATATCCCAGTGACATGAGGGATTCATCAATATTCCCGATAGGATAGTGCTGGACACGGGATAATTTGTTCAGTTCTCTGAAGTCGATGCAAAGCGTGTCTCTCCTGATTTCTTTTTAACTAACAGGACAGGGGGCAGACCATGGGGAAAAGGAAGGCTCAATTATGTCATTGTCTAACATGTCCTTGATGTGTGTGGCCATTGCTTGTCTATGTTTGGGATGAACTGGGTAAGGACGCGTTCACGAACAGGATGGCTATCTCCGGTGTCTATGGAATGAGAGAACATGTGCGTCCTACCTAGTTCACTGATGTCTTTAGCGAAGCGATCCGCGGTGTCTGCCAATGAATGATAACAAGGTGTGTTTCTGGTCGGTAGATAGGTCAGCTGAAGAAAGGTCAATGTCTAGTTCCAATGCTTGTTGAGTCCAGTCAGTAGTAGTTGAACTGTTAGTCGAAGAAACGTGATTGATTGTCTCTAACTGTTGATATGAGGCCTCTTTAAGTGGGCCCAAGTCAAAGTTTGGGTCAAGTGACTCAAACATAGCAACAGGTGTGTTTGCTGGCAAGGTAATTGTAGAGTTGGTAGGGTTGAGTAATCTATAGGGAACCTGAGAGTCCATACATTTCACTACACAGTGGATGCCTATGACCTGATGAGTTTGGGTCAAATTACTGACTGGCTGTAATGTACCAGGGGAATCCGTGGGGGTGGTAGTGGCATGTCTAAAACCAAACATACTTCTGACCTTGGAGGAATATTAACATGTGTGGAGCATCTGCCTAGGAGGCTATCTGTCCGGGGACTAAGGAATGGCGCCTCGGCTAGGCCATTGTAAAGGCAAAGTTTGTTGTTTGAATAATCTACTGAAGCTTCATGCTGTTTCAAAAAGTCAAGGCCGAGTAAAACATCTTGCTGTAGGCCATCCACTACATAAAACTTGTGGAGGAGTTTCAGGTGGGCAATGTACAAAACCAAGTCAACTGACCCAGGCACACTAAGCATTTTTCCATCTGGCCCTGCTAATTGGATGTCATCACTTTCGCGCCGAGGGAATCTGTCTGACTCTCCCAAAGTGTGGAAATGGGATAGACCGATACAGCTCGCTTTTCGCCCAGTATCTACAAGGGCATGGAAGGAGGTATTGTTAATGGTGACCAACACTGTACTGTGTTTCAGACAAATGTTGTTTTATGGGTTTAGGTGTGGGCAGAGGGTGGGTTGTTGCTGTGTTACGTGCACAGTGTTCTTCTGGCATCATTGCCTATATGTAGATTGTAGGGGACACATGCGGATGAGGTGGCCCTGTTTGTTACATTTGTAACAACGGAGGTGTTGTGCCTTACATTCCTGAGGAGATGAATGGAATAAGCCACAGGCATGACAACGGAATTGTTTTGGAAAGGAATGGCTGGCGTTAGCTGCTGGAAATACCTGTTGATGGTAGGTAAGTTGTGGTTTATTCAGTATTGGGCGGTGAAAGGGAGCTTGAAATCGTCGATTGTGGTGGGCATAGTCTTTTGAGTGATAAGGAGTGTTAGAGTCCATGTAGTGGTCATATGGTTGGGGGCGGTGGTCAGTGGTCACTGCATTTATGTGAGGTGATTTGAGGGCGTTTACTGTTTCAGTTAGGGCAGTGATGGCCGACATCAATTGATCAGATTTAGGATCTGTTAATACTGACGTGGCGTCTGCTATTTCGGCACTGTTAATAACCTGTTCCAGTGAATCATGGGGGTGAGTAAGTATAAACTGGCGAATATGGGGAAGAGCATTTCTGATTATTAAGTCCTGTATATCACGGATCATCGTTCTTGTGGAGGAGTTCAGCTTAGGTGTCGAATAGATTGTAAGAAAGTGGCGACGATTCGTCCGCCCTTTGTTTACGGATCAAGAGTGCATCTTGGCGAGTAAGGAGAGTTATGGGGTTTTGGTGCATAAGCGCCCGTGAGAAGGCAGCTTTTAATTCAGGCCAAGACATGTGTGCAGTGTTTTGGTACCTTCATACCATTCGCTGCCATTCCAGTCAAATAAAGGGGAAAATGTCCCGATGGTCATCATCGGCATAATGCTGGGCTGATGCGAATTTCTCATAGCGACGAAGCCAAGCTGTTGCAGCTATGGGATCTTTCCCATCGCATAGGTAGGGGAACGCGGGAACAGTTAATTGCCCTTGACAATGTAGAGAGAGTATTGGTCTGGGACTGTTGAATGGGTGGTGGGCAGGGGATGGCGAGGAGGGGCTGGGGAAGAAAAGAAGAAGGGTGTGTCTGAACACTGGGTTCATGGATATCAACTAATGGTAGATTGTGGGGAATGGGTTGAGTCGCGGTCTGGGGAGAGGGTTTGTGTCTGCTCCTGTTTCATCGAATGTGACCCAGTTGGGTGAGAAGGGGTCTAGGGGCGAAGAAGACGATTTATAGGGGTTGCAGGTTGGGAAGGGCGATTTGGTGCATTAAGGGGGTGCTTTGGTACTGAGTGTCTGAGTGTAGTATAGGGAGGCGATCATCGGCGTTTAGAGGTCTAAGTTTGTATACAGACATGGTATAAATATGAAAATGATACAAATAATTAACTGAGTAGGATGGAAAGCAAAATGGACACACAAAAATGCTCACCAAGATATATAAGCGTTGGAAAGTTCAGTTGATAAGTCAGCTCTTGGTGATCGTGTCACAGTTCACAGAAACAGGCGTTGGTAGTTGCACTGTAGTAGGTAGTAGACAAACAAGTGGTGAAGCGTTGATCTTGATGCTGTGAGGGGGTGGTGATAGCGGAAGGTCGGCACTTCTGGTGGCGCAGTAAGGAACTCTGGTCTTGAGATCGCAGGGAAGGCACAGTGAACTTGTCCCCGATGACTTGAAGGTTATCACACTGGTCTTGGCGGCAACGGAGGGCACAAGAGTTCGTCACTGATGATAGGGATAATTTTAGTTCTGCTGAAACACTGTAGAAACATCACGATGATGGCCTGATGAGGTCTCCTATGAGGTCGGCGTTGATGGAAGTAGTGCCAGTTATTGTGAATTGAAAGTTTGACCTAGAGCGCACAGGTAGTAGTATGACTAGAATATAGTGCTCTTGGTGGAAGTTTATAAACAGTCGGCAGGAATTTGAGGTGCTGGTTGTGGACCCCAGACGAAATTAATGAAGTAATAGGCTTAACTAACCTCAGTTCTTGTTGCTGCGAGGTACTCTGCTTGTTAGCTTGGTGAGGTACCCGGATTCTCCACCAATATATCCGCGGTGGGATATTCTTTCTATTGCGATGACTCTTGTTCCGAGTATGTTCAAGTACAACACAAGTCCGTCTGTGGGTCCACAACAGGGTTTATTTCTTGCACCAGTTACAGCTCTGATCTCAGGTCTCGACCCCCCCAGGCTTGCTGGCTCACAAGTATATATACACATACATACATTCCTGATTACATACATACATGATCCTTAAAAGGTTATACCCCTTGACCAGTAGTACCTCATCCGCGATCCTCCATGTTCCTACTGTAGTCGTCATCAGAGTTCTAAGAATACTCGTGTCCAACTCCCCTTTTTTGGACAATCGTCTATGGCCAGTGGTATATTCTGACCAGGTGAAAAGGTGTGTCCCCCCATCAGAGTGTTTGTCTGTGGGGGAGGCATCAGTGCTCTAAGAATACTTGCGTCTCTCACATCCCTTTTTGGACAGCCGTCTCTGGACAGTCTGTCTATTCTGGCCAGGTCAAAAGTGTATTCCCCCTCACCAGGGTGATTGCCTGAGGGGGGGGGAGGGTGTGAGGACTGTTACTGATAAGTGTTTCTTATAACATAGAACGGGCCTGTAAATATTGCCTATGATACTAGTCTCAAGTTAAACCTAGCAGATCAGATCTGTTCGTGTATAGCATATGTAACAGCTGTATGTAGGTCTGGGCCGTTTTCCCTCATGACTTTCATTTTAAGGCCAGCCCATGTGTGAAGAATTCCACCAACTGGCGCACTACTGCGGCACCGTTCCCTTCTCTACCAAGTCCTTTGTATGCTTCTTCAGTAAAGATTCGTTCTGTTGTACGCTTTTATCAAGCTTCTGTTTTACTGCCCTCAACAACATGAATGCATGTTGTGAGTACCTTACCTCAGAAAATCTCCTATTTAGTTCATGGTTTAATTCCTACCACATTGCCTGATCATGATCTTGCAAATAATGATAGATAAAGTGACTAACTGCCCCTGAACGTGACTGATAGGCAACAAATTTTATTCTCTCTTGATCTGCACACGTTTCTATGCTTTTTGCTCTTTCTCTACATTTTGTGGGTTCTCTCTCAAATGTTGTAGCATCCTCATGCATATTGCACATAATAATAATTATATAGATATTTTATCTGATGATTATATTGTAGATTAACAATCAATTTCTAGGAAACAACAACTCCAAGATTTTAATTTGCCTGTTACCTTTGTCCATGCTGATGAAACTTTCCTTCTGAGCTGCATTCATCACTGCCGTCTATCCATGTCTCCCTCTGTTGTGAGCTATGTATAGCTGGTTAGAGGGTTGAAGGAAGACAAATAAGGTCTTATTCTTGCTGGGTCAGTTTCCACATAATGTGGAATTAGCTTCAGATGATGTTACTTTAGAACATGGATATACAAAGCTGATGAAACACTTAGTTCTGATCCTTCTCAGCTGCAATCATTGCTGGTGTCTATTCATACCTACCTCTACTGTGAGGTGTGTGTAGCCAGTGTGGAGGGTATGAGATAAATAAGATAATTCTTTATTGCCTGTGAGTGAGCATAAATACATGTATTTCAAATAAATACATAAAAATGTGATCATAATTACATACAAATATACAAAAGCATGAGAATGGAGAACATAATGGTTATTCAACAAAGAAATTGATAATGGTGCAAAAGACATTTTATGATCAATTAATTTCTTTATCAAAAGATGAGGATAAATGGTGTTAAAGGTTTAGGAGAAATCTACAAACACAATTCTTACATAAGCAGCATGTTTTTCAAGATGTTGATATTCAGAGTTTAACAATGAAACAGTTGCATCCTCCACGCCTCGTCTCACTCTATATACGAATATCAAAGGATCTAAACGAGTATTGACATGATTTAGTATTAGATGATGTTACTCTAGGAAGTAGATATATAGCACTGATGAAACACTTTCTTCTGTTCCATCTCATCTGCTTTCATCACTGGTGTCCAATCCATTTCTCCCCCTACTGTGATCTATGTATATCTGGTGTAGAGGGTTGAAGTAAAAAAGTGTCAGTATCCGTGGAATATTAATAAACCTTAGATGATGTTACACAAGAAAGTTGATATGTAAAGCCATGAAACACTTGTGATCCATGACAGCTGCCGTCATCACTGGTGTACAATCCATGTTTCCTACTGTGAGCTATGTATAGCTGGTGTAGAGGGTTGAAAACAAAAAGTGTCAGTATCCGCGGAATATTAAAAAACCTTAGATGATGTTACACAAGAAAGTTGATATGTAAAACTGATTAAACACTTATGATCCAATTCAGCTGCCGCCATCACTGGTGTACAATCCACCTGTCCTACTGTGAGCTATGTATAGCTGGTGTAGAGGGATGAAAACAGATAATGTCTTGTTCTTGCTGGATGACAGGATTTACCAAATCTGAAATGTGCCTAATGGTGTGGTCCCAGTGGGGATCTCGGGAGCTGGACCAACTAAGTGTGAAAAGCTCGGGATGCATATAACCCTGTGTACCCTGAATCACATAGCTACAACTTATAATATGTTCCCTTAAAGGTGACTCAAATATGTGAACTTCAGAACCAGGTAAATGTCTATGATGCTGTTATCTTATTATTTGCTTTAATATTTAAAAATATGGATGGACAATTGCAGATAGATAGTGATATAACGAAAATAGGTGACACTTATGATTGACCAAGTTTATACATGATGTTTTTAATACTTTTACTACATTTATTCAGATTTTATGACACATCCCACTTCCCACTAAAATCCGAAATACTCCTTTATTTATAATAGCTGTGTCTTCATCTGTTCATGCTTCAAGGCGCAGCGGCACATCGTCCAGTTGTTGAAGTAGAGGATCCAGCTCGGAGTTTCTCATGGTGGCAAGAGTTGTCATCATCTGCACTTGTCTGGCTGCAGTTGGGGGCAGGTCATTTTCTTTCTCTGCACGTGCCACCATCACGAGGAACTTGTACTGGTACAGTCGCATCTTGTGGATTTCATTTAGCTCGACTTTAGCGTCTCCAGTGCCTGGAAGTCACAGGAAGTTATACCTGTCTAATAAGTCCTGCCTGCTGAAGTTGGCATGCAATACCGAACCTCTTTTTCAAATTTCATTGCTGCGAATTCCCAATTTAACAGCTTCCTATCTGCTGTCATGGCTGTCCATCCCTTTGGAGGATGGAGGTTCTGCCAAGGCAAAGAAGACTTCCCCGTCTGGTCCATTCACTCCTTGCTAGGGGAAACTGGGGCATAGCTACTGTCTTCAGCAGGTCCTCTGCCCGCTTCATGATGCTTGGACTGTGGCCTATGGATGCTGATGTCAGCACTGAGGATGCTGAGGTACTGCACTGTGTTTTCTTGCTCGTAGTAGTACTCTCTCCCTGAGAATGACGCTTAGGCGGACAAATGGTGGAAGATTTAGATGGCTAGGAGTATGCCCGTTTAATATCTGATAACTTGATCTCGAAGTCTATCTGTTGGTTACAGCCTTCCAAGATCCAAGGAAGGTGGGTGAGATCTACTGGAGCAGCTGCATCTGATGGCCGCTCAGTGGCTTTCCTTCCAACTAGCTGGAATAACTTCCTTGCAAGGGCTTCTCCAATTGACTTATCCTTCAGTAGTTTGGAGACAAGTCAAGTTGTGTCCAGCTGAGAAGAGTGCCTGTAATTTGGAAATCCAGTGTTATGCAATGTGGATATGAAAAAAACTGATAAAACATGTTCTTCTGATCCAGCTCTTCTGCTTTCATCACTGGTGTGAGCTATGTATAGCTGGTGTAGAGGGTCAAAGACAAATAATATCTTGTGCTTGCTGGGTCAGTATGGTGACACTACGGTAGAATATGGATGTAAAAAAATGATGAAACACTTTTTTCTGGTCCATTCTCAGCTGCAACCATTACCGGTGTGCATCCATACCCACCTCTGCAGTGTGCTATGTATAGCTGGTGCAGGGGGTCAAACAGAAATAAGGTCTTGTTCTTGCTGGGTCAGCATCCACGAAATGGTTAATCTTAGATGACATTACAGTAGAAAATAGATGTATAAAACTGATGAACATGTTCTTCTGATCCTGCTCAGCTGCAATCATTACAGCTGTCTATCTACACATCCCTCTACCCTGAGCTATGTATAGCTGGTGTAGAGGGTCAAAGATAAACAATGTCTTGTTCTTGCGAGGTCAGCATTCACGGAATGCGGAATTAACCTTAGATGCCATTACATTTGAACACGGATTACCAAAAACTGATGAAACACTTTTTTCTGATCCTTCTCAGCTGCAATCATGAGTGGTGTTTGTTCCTACCTCCCTCTACTGTGAGCTATGTGTAGCTGGTGTGGAGGGTCGAAGGCAATGTCTTGCTCATGCAGGGTCACCAGATTTGCCAAATGTTAAATGTCCCTAAGATGTCTTTAGTGACATTCACGAGAGTCTGATGTTTTCCACTGGTTGTCTTCCAGGTTTAATCACTGCTTACCAAAACATTGAAAATACACTCACTAAGATTATCATGCAAGGCCCAACCAATAATTCTCCTACAATGTCAGCTTACAGCACTGATTTGAGAGGTGATGATTGATTCCTTTAAATCATGATTCTATCCAAATTATTTGATACTAAGATTCTAACAACAAACAACAGGAACAAACTACAAATTTATTTAGCAATTATTTTGAAAAATATATTGTATTTTTTTTGTTAGATATATTACTCATTTATTAGGAAGATAAATGAATGTCAATGTTTGATGGGTATGATGTTCTTTGAACCTGTTTCTGTGTTTTTAGATTAGCATTATAAACAGAAAATGCTTGTATTATTACAGGGATTGGGATAGAGAACTTTGACAAAGGGCCATTTTCAGGATTATTACCCATTTTCTGAATTTAGAATGGGCCACTGCCCTTGTATCAATAGTAAACTTCAAAATTTTATTTTTGTATTCTAATGTGCAAAATGGCCCATGGCCCCTGCCTTTCCCAATCCCTGTATTATGAAGCATGAAAAAATGTGATAAAACAACAATCGAATAATTACATACATAACACAATAACAACATGCATCCCTACCCAGATATACGGTCTCAGATACTGAGGAGCTTCTGTGAGGTTTCATGAAAGGGTTTTGACAACGGCGCTGCTACATTTTTAATCATTCAAACCAGTGATCGGATGTTCAAATCCTAAAGTATGTTTATTGTCTCCACTGTAGAATTTGTGTTATCAATTCAAGAAGCAACCTTGATAACATCCAGATCTATCAGGTCAACAAGGTGTTATTGTGGGTTCTCCTAGTTCTCAACATCCATATGGAAAACCTTGCCTGTCTGTTTTAGCAGGGTTCCCACAAGACCTGGAAACCTGGAAATTTCACACCCCATTTTCCAGTCTTAGAATATTCATGGAATTTTAAAAAAATGGATGAAATCATGGAAAATTCAAGGAAGAATCTTAGGGGTTTTATCAAACAAGTATATCTCAACAGTACTACAAGGGCTATGGCAGCCATCAACATGTGTATCGGGATTAGTTTGCATCTATGTTAATACTTGCTTAATTAAATACATGTGGTACTAAAATTGTAAACAATAAGATGTATTCAATTGATGTTTCATTTCTATTTTGTCATCTTATCATAAAGAGGTGTGAATGGACAGCTGTAAGGGGAGATGGGAGGCCGTATTTAAGATATTTTAAGGTATCAAAATACCCTAGGACATATATTGTGTTTGGAAAAAGCAATATTTGTCTTGAAAAATCATGGAATTTTTTTCCACAAAAATATGGGAACCCTGTTAATTTCATTTGTTGAATGAATATTTTTCCATGGTTTGCAGGATACCTACATGTAACCCCAAAACAGGGTCTGAGTTTCAGATACGACAGTTATGGTATTTGTGTCACAACACTGGCGAATGTTATTTAGTATTGAGGAATGTGAAAGATCTGTTTCTGTATATGTTGAATGCATTTTTGTATTGTATTGATTGATTGATCTGACATATGAATAAACTGTGAACCTTTTTCTGTTTTTATGTTGTTCTTATGAATACACTTGGAGAATAGACTGTGAGTGAAATAATTACGTAATCTTGGCTGCTAACATTTATTCATGCATGACCTATGATATATAATTCCATTATTTCTGAAAATTATATTTCTATATATCACCTTAGCTTGTTTTTAAGAAGCGTGCAAAAGTTTTGTTTCCACATCACAAGTAAGAGAGTGAGTGAGTTTAGTTTTACGCCGCAATCAACAATATTCCAGCTGTATGGCGGCGGTCTGGAAATAATCTGGACCAGACAATCCAGTGATCAACAGCATGGGCATTGATGTAAGCAATTGGAATTTGATGACATGTTGTAAACCAAGTCAGCAAGCCTGACCACCCAATCCCGTTAGTCTCCTCTTACGACAAGCATGGCTTACTGAAGATCAATTCTGACCCGAATCTTCAATGGTCTCACAAATAGGAACACCTGTATCAAAATATAAAACTGTCATGTGACAACAGTTATTTGTGGTAATAAAACTAGGATGCTTAACAAAGATATGGCATGTAGGGTATAAACAAGCCAACCTGAACAAAGCAACAGTTACAATGCACAGCGGAAGTAGCCTAGTGGTTACGCCTAAGATCCGGGTTTAATTCTGGTGTCCCCGCCGTGATATTGCTGGAATATTGCTAAAAGCGGTGTAAAACCATACTCACTCACTCATCCCCAATCCCCATGGATCATGGTTTTGCATAGCATTAATATTGACATATGTCTAATACATGGGCTATAATCCACAAGAAACAAAACATGTTCACCTGACATGAGATTTGGACTTACTACACCTTATACCTGCATGACAGTGGATAAGTATAGTTTTACACCGCAAGAACCCCAGGGATTAATATACTGTTCCAAAAAGGTTTGACACCGGTGTTAAAGGGAACAACATTCATGCATATATTGATTTATTGCAGTACATCGAAAGGTAAGATACTTATGCTTACAAATGAATCACAAGATTGATGGTTTTTCAAAATGTCCAAGGTTCACAAGTCTTAGAAGGAAGAGGGGGTCGGTACCTTGTGTGACCACCACTTTCTTTAATCACTGCCTCACAACGACGACGCATCGAAGCAATAATTAAGACGTTGATTAGTGTCCTGTGGGATGTTCTGCCATTCTTGAAGGGCTGCATTTCGCTCACGAACACGTCGGCAAGGACATCCCATAAATGCTCAATAGGTGACAAATTCGGGGAACGAACAGGCCAAGGCAGAACAGCCACGTTGTTTTGACGAAATAGGTCCTGACAAACAATGGCTATGGGTGGTCTGACGTTGTCTTGTAGTTTTGCTCCTGCTTCCAGGCGACCAATAGCATTTTGACGTTGTGCTTCCGACATCCTCACATGTTTAACACCATAGACTGTCACAATGTGATATGTCACATGGATTCGATTGATGGCCTTTTATAGCCACCCAAAGAGGCCATCAGCATGGGTAAGTGAACAAAACACAGCTGCACGTGCATTTCTTGGGGGATGCGTTTTGGCTATATGCCTATAACGTCGTTCGAACGTTGACGTCAAAATGGTAATGATTCACTTTTGCACAGATTTGTCAATTATCCTTTGCTTTGTGATCCTACACCCAGTCTATTTAGTTCTCTTTTTAGCATTAAACACTGGTGATATACTTACCCATGTAAAAGAACTTTTTGAACATTATAATATATTCATGCATAAAATTCCTCTGGGCCGAATTATTCAAAAGAGTGTGTGTGTGTGTATTTAGTTTTACATATTCCAGCAAGATCATGGTAGGGACACCAGAAATGGGCTTCACATATCGTACCCACATGGGGAATCAACCCCGGATCTTCTGCATGACAAGTGAACACTTTCACCACGAGGCTACCCCACCGAAGTGACAGTGAACAGGATTAGCCAATATGAACAAGTTACACAATGATAAGTAGCAAAACCACAGGTCACTTAGTTTGGAATTTTCCCCAAGAAAAGTCAAGCTACCATCAAGGCCTCCACAATTTCATAGCTAGCAGGATTCATTTAATAAACCAGTTTTTGTGATGCATAAATCGATATGTAATTCTACTGCAGACAAGTTTGGGCGTACGGACAGACGTTTATTTCGATCAGTACAATGCCATCTGCCACGAGGTTGTAGGGACTAATAGTTACCTGAACTTCCTGCATGGCAGTGATCAGAACTAGCTAATATTAAGATGTTCTATTGTGGTATTCGCGTAAAATTCAACGTGACTTTAAGATTCACCTCACACTGATTTACCAAAAATGCAAATGTCCTAAATAAAGTAAAGTAAGAGTTTCCTCCGGTTCTGAATCTCCCATCTCACTTGTTCTCTAAAATTCAATCCGCATGGACACCTGGGATCAGATAGATCAAAACGTACGACAGGCCCGGAACCGGCTGTAAATTTTACCTCATTTGACCCAACTGGAATAACATCCCCCAAGTCGTCATCAATTATCTGGTGTCTTAGAAGCCGAGAGCCGCTTTGATGAGGTCCTACGGACAAGACATGACCCCGTCGTTGAGTTTGGCTAGAATCTCTTGGGTTAATTTTTGGTTCTCCTTAATTCATTTGCACCTATACGTTAAGACTTCTGCCATGCCAAGTAGTTCTGGACTAGTGTCACAGGGCCATACAAGATATCGAGAACAGATGACCTTCACCCTGACATTCGTTTGTTTTATGGGTACCGTGATGCACTTCTGTCAGTGACAATGACTTGTGCCAAAATTTGAAACATCTATTATGATATATTGATTATTTCTGTATCTGAAAAACACTTAAAGTATATATTGAGTTCAATTTTCCACAACCCATGTCTGCAATTTGTGAATCGAATTGAGCTATAAATAAATCATTTTATGATTTCTAAAAATCGAATTTCTGATGTCGATAGATTATTTAGTGATACCTAAAGACCCAAACATCAGCGAAAATCCGTTTGAGTGGAACGAAACAAAACCTTCACTAAGATATACACAAAGGTTTTAATTAAGCACCCCCTGTATGTTTGCAATGATAGGTTTTCAACGCGCACATAAAACTTCTTGTGATGACAACGATGGAAAAACCTGAGTTTTTCTGACCCGTATAATAAAAACAACAACAATATGATTGGAATCTATGTTTTTGCTTTATAATGACAAATGCTCATTTTAAAAAGAAAACACTCATTTCATCCAAAGCCATGTCTGTGTATGGCCCTGGAATGTTTAATGTTGAATTTATTGGTGAATGCGAACTTTCAAAGTCAATTTCGAGTGTAACCATCATGTAACTGTATGACAGCCAGCACTCTCCTCCTCATACCCCCTGTCAGCCTCCTGATCCTCTGAAGGGGCAGTCTACGCCATTCCTCGCGTAAAGCAACTTCCAATTGGGCCAGGTTCTGTACAGGAGGATCCCTTAGTTGAACACGACGACCAATTGTACCAGATGTGCTCCAAAGGTTTAAGATCGGTGCTCATTCAATCGTGAGATATGTCAGGGGGTGCTTAACTAAGTTCTTTGTGTATAAAATATGCAGAAGAGGATTAATGTCCCTTGCACAGACCCAGCTTATGACAGATAACTACAATAATATGAAAGAATCAGGTGGTCATTGATTTGTGTTATATATTTTAACAACGTTTCTAAGATGCCTAGCTGTTAGAACAATCGAAAAAAAAATACATTATGAGACATTATTGGGTACATGGAATTTCATTCGACTATTATGAAATTTGACTGGCAGATGATATGGGACCGCTCAACCTCAACGAGGGCCCTATCAGTTCTGTTGCTTCAATGACGTCATATTGGGTGCGTAATCATTCGACATTGGCTTTGACTGGCAGTGGGTCAAACAAGTCCTAACCGAATTGCTTTATTAAGCGATAATGTTGCTTTTGCTTGTGCCCTAACAATTGCAACACTGACATTGAACACTGACATGGTTTTGCATGTTGCAGGCTATGGTCTTGTCAAAGGCCAAGGTCGAATATCGTCACTTTCTGTTGTGACGTCACTTGAATTGTTTGATGACGTAATTGCATTCGGGCAGTCAACCCCGTCAGAAGTTGGTTTTGAGTAAACTTACAGTCAAATTCCTTCATTGTTTCCTTTTTCTTTTCAACACAAATTCCATGTATTTTAGCAATAATAACGGTAATGCTATTTTTGAGGGCATTATCATTTGCAGAAGCCCTCGGTCTTTTTCAACTGCCCTCCTTCGTCGGGCAGTTAATGGAATACCTCGGGCTTCTGCAAATGATAATGCCCTCAAAAATAGCATTACCCTTATAATAAAGGTATAGTTTTTTGATGACGTAACAATTGAATGACGTTATCCCGTCACTGCGCCATTCTAGTGTGCCCCCTCGTAATCGAATTATTTTTACATTACGTCACAATGTAAGTGACGTCACGATGCATGTCAGTTGTCATCGCTTCGTACGGCCTCCTACAGTAAACTACTCCGTTGCATCCCGTTTCTTGGTTTGCAGTTGCTTCACGCAGCTAACATCACTGGTGGAAACATTACGTTTATGTTTTACGACGGTCAAAATGTGTCAATTCGACTCACAAGTTTTCAGCGACACGGTAACGTTCGCAATGTTTACATTCCCACAATGCAATCGTGGAATGTCGCTTGACTACTCCGCTTCATCTGGATGTACTGATCTAAACTTAGGTTGGTAGTAGAAATGCGACGTTGATATTGCCCCATATGGTTTACGTTAATGACAGATGTAATTAAAATAATTCAGAGAAGATATTAAATCCGAACGTAAACCGTCATCAAACTGTTATCATTTGTGTTTTTTTCTGGTAACGTTCGTTTAACGTAGGGGGGCAGACACATCAATAGAACAGCGCACCAGTTAGCCCTGTGCGAGGATTCTTAATTTAGGTTACCGACACCGTCATTTGTTTTCTGCCTTAAATTAATCGTAATTATCCTTAGAAAGTATTAAATTTAGCATCT